TACAGAAGTCGTATTGGGGCCTTGGTGAAAATTTGAAGGAAAAATGACAAAACTTAACAATGACTTTTTAGCTTTAAGCTGATCTGCCTTTCGCCACTTATGCTGAAAGCCAAGAAGAAAAAAAAAGTTCTTGACCACTGAGATCACAATATATTTCAGTCCAAGGACGTTATGGAATTTTGAATATCATCGTAGAGGAAGCGAAACGGCTTCGTTTGTCGGCTTCAACAATCACTGATCTATTACGGAATAAACAGTCCATTCGGCTCAGTATAACGCAGACATCGAAACAGTTGCATTAACTGTATTGATGATTAAAAGGCCTTAATGATATTTTCTCGCTGAACCTACTTTGTCGAATGGTGGTGAGAGCTTCCGGAGTCATACAGCTGTCATTGCATTCCTCAATGGAGGCAAATTGATTGTCACTTCCGCCACAACCGAGGTAGACAAACCACGAGCAACGTTCGTGCACCTTGTCGTAGTATGCCTTCTGGATGGTTGTGGAAGGACCGGAGCGATTGCCACTGTAGGCGCACTGAGCGTAGCCCGCCTTTGGAGGGACCAGACATCGATTTAAGGCTAGAAGTATTTACACAAAAAAATCGTGCAGTTGCTCTATCTTCTCTTCTCCAGGTTTACCTTACTGTGCATGAGTTCGTAGACATTTACGCATAGCCGTTTTACGCATTTATAATTAACACTAACCATACATGCGCAATGCACTTTGTTTACCATCCGTTACTACCTGAAATCTTCGCTTCTGAACTGAGCACAATTTTTAGCTTAAGAAATTAACTCTTGTCGGCGATTGTGTGCTTACGTGATTTGGGAAGGCAGGCAGATTTGCAGTCAGCCTCGCTTTGGAAACGATTGTCGTTCAGAATGCAGTCGGATGTAGATAAGCATTGCTTCTCAATTTGGTCATAGTACCAAAGTAACTTTTCTGTGTCTTTTAGCTCCGAACAGGCTGTAATATGTGGCATAACTTGACACCGCTCTATAAATAGGAGGAAACATAGTGCAGCCCAAGCCACACAAAAGAATAGCAAAGGTATAAAGTCTATGGTCGTAGGTGGTGGAAAAATTCTGCGCCAAAATTGTTGATCCCTTTTACGTCATGTAAGCAATAAAATCTAGTTTTTTTCAGCTGTAAATTACCGTATGATGTGTTAAAGTGTGTGATTCCCATAGGCCAAGCATTTATTCACTTTGATCCACTTAGTATGAAATAAGGTAGAATTCGGTACCAATACTAAAAGAATCATTTGTAAAAAGATAGCTCGAAGTAAAGCAACGTCGCAACGAAACTCCACGCATACTAACACGCAGTGGAAATCCATTTAAAAAGGAGTTAGGGAATTCATGTCACTGTTGGATCAGGATTGGAAAAGCTACTAAAGCCTTCCATGTATCACCACTGCATCGCATCGTGCCTTAAGTATTTTCGAAAGCTAATTACTGCAATGCTTGCAAGCTCAAAGGCCTAGCGGCGAGTGAACTTTGCGTACCGAAACCCAAGGAGGCTCATGCGAACTTAGAACATCAAAAAGACAAGCTTTCCGTTTGAGTTTGATGGTTGTCATGCTTATGGACATTCGTGGTATAAAAGCGAGTTAATGGCTTTCATGCTCATCCATTTATGTTTTAGCAAAGCAATATAAATTGAAATACGAAAAGCTGCCCAAGTTCCTGTGCTTATATTTCTGAG